ACCCTGGGTAGAGTGCAGTGGTATCATCATAGCTCACTGCAACCTCAAACTCCTGGGCTCAAGCCTAGCCTCCTGCCTCAGCCTCCCAAGTATCTGAGACTATAGGTGCCCACCACCATGCACAACTAATTTTTTCTATTTTTCGTAGAGACAGGGTCTCACTCTTGCTCAGGCTGGTCTCGAACTCCTGAGCTTAAGCATACTCCTGCCTCGGCCTCCCAGAGTGCTAGGATTACAAGCATGAGCCACTGTGTGTGTCCCTGATCTGGTGTTTTAAAGGCTCCAATCTGCCAAAGAAATTGGAAAGAATGAGATGGTGGGGAGGAGAAGCCTAACAGAGGAGCTGGTGGTACAAGTAGGAGACTCACCTTGTCACAAGAGACTGTCTTCCATCCGTGGCAGAAGCCACTTCTCACAACTCTGCAAGCCACCTGCTGCCTGGCTATAAATGGATCCATCGTGGAAACATGAGCCACACCTTGACACATGACTGACTTTATAAGGAGTCTACATTTATTTATTTATTTAGAGACAGAGCCTGGCTCTAATGCCCAGGCTAGAGTGCCGTGGTGTCAGCCTAGCTTACAGCAACCTCAAACTCCTGGGCTCAAGCAATCTTTCTGCCTCAGCCTCTTGAGTAGCTGGAACTACAGGCATGCGCCACCATGCCCGGCTAATTTTTTCTATATATATTTTTAGTTGTCCAGATTATTTCTTTTTATTTTTAGTAGAGACGAGGTCTTGCTCTTGCTCAGGATGGTTTCGAACTCCTAAGCTTGAGAGATCCTCCCACCTCGGCTTCCCAGAGTACTAGGATTACAGGCGTGAGCCACTGTGCCCAGCCTACATTTATTTTTAAACAAGTATATGGCAACTTGTACACCAAAATGACTTCTTAGCCTCTGAAAATCCTTCACCTGTGAAGCAACAAATAACACACCCACAGCTGACAGCATTCTGGAAACAGCCACCCAACCTACAGTCATGCCTTTGAATAGACCCAGTGCTGGCAACTTGTTATCTTCTGAATGAGGCCTGGGGTTTGGGGAACAGGCAACAGGCATTCAGAATCAAATTTGCTGGGTGGAAGGGCCATAAGGTTGGGTAAGACCATATGGGATAAGAAAGGATGGATATGAAAAAGAATGAGGCAGTCTTCCTGTGTGAGTCACAAGCTGCCTCCAGACAGAGTGTTTCAGAAATGCTTTTAAGAAATGCAGCACTAGCCAGGCGTGGTGGCTCAAGCCTGTAATCCTAGTACTCTGGGAGGCTGAAGTGGGAGGATTGCTCGAGGTCAGGAGTTCGAGACCAGCCTGACCAAGAGCGAGACCCCATCTCTACTAAAAAAAAAAAATAGAAAGAAATTATCTGGACAACTAAAAATATATAGAGAAAAAATTAGCGAGGGATGGTGGCATATGCCTATAGTCCCAGCTACTTGGGAGGCTGAGGAAGAAGGATTGTTTGAGCCCAGGAGTTTGAGGTTGCTGTGAGCTAGGCTGACGCCACAGCACTGACGCCCAGGCAACAGAGCAAGACTCTGCCTCAAAAAAAAAAAAGAAAAAAGAAATGCAGCACTGCCAGACAATGCCTACTGTTTCCTGGCATAGTTCTAGGTGCCAGGCCACCCTGTGGAGTAGATAAAACTATTCCCATTAGGCAGAGAGTAGCTAAGAATTGACCTAAGATTACACAGCTAGTAAGGGGTAAAGCTGGGATTTGAATTCAGGCAGGCTGGCATAAGAGTCTCTGATTTTAATCACTACGTCAAACTGCCTCTTGGTCGAAACAACACCATTGCCTCCTAAGGTAAAGATCTGGAAGAGAACAAGCCTGTTTAGAAACATACACCAGATGAATCAATTAGAAAATCAATTTTGTCACTGCTCAGTTAAATCTTACACATACTCGCATATAAAATGTCTTGTTTGCTGGTACAGCCCTAGAACCTCTTATAGTGTCTGGCACATAGGAGACAATAAAATTTGTTCAATGGAAAAAGGAATGAATGAATAAAGTAGTTCAAAAGTGTGCATTACAGAGTGAATCAATGGCCTAGGCAACTAGAGAAGGAGCTACCATTTATTGAATCTTTTCTCTATTTAGAACACCAAATTATGCTTACTGGAGTCATTTGATTTAGCCTCAGTCTCACCTTAGAATTTGTATATTTTATCCTGGGTCAGGAGGCATTTCACCATCCAATATGCAAGTTCTGAGCTCATAACAGGCTTTTGGGTGACCCAATGCTCCTCCTTCCCAGCCCAAAGAGTTCAGGCAACCTGAGGTCTTCCTGAACTCACCAAAAACAATCACCAAGTCCCTCTGCATTTCATTCACTTTTCTAGCATTCCATATCCCCTGCCCATGCTACCTCTGCACACCTAACCTCTTACTTCCTCTGCAACAGCCTCTCAGCTCTACTCCCTGTCTCTGGCCACCCAACTCCCCACCATCCATCTTACCTAGCACTGTGAGAATCACCTTTCTGAAGCTCAGCTCTGTGAGGAGTCCCCTGTGCATAAGGTCTGGAATGAGAAGGCCTGGCTTTGAGGCATATGAAGCCATGTAAGTCAAATACCTTCTTGGGGCTTTGAGTTCTTCATTGGTGAAGTGGGGGACATCAATATATTTCATAGGGTTTGATGGGGATTCAGGGAGATAATGTAGGTTAAAGTGGAATTTTGCAAATGCTTGTCACATGATATTAATACTTTTAAGTTTTTGCTTAGTTGAAAAGGTCCCTGTAATCAAATACCTGCTATGAAGCTGTAAAAACAAATAACCTCTCCCAAACAAGAAACCTACTCTAGCTTCCTATTGTCTGCTGAACAAAGCAAAAGCTCTTTACAATGGCATTCTTTTTTAAATGAAGAGATTATGCACTTTCTCTCTCATTACATTGTTCCATTTCTTCTTTTTCTTTCTTTCTTTTTTTTTTAGACCGTACTTGCTTTGTTCTGAGAGATCAGCCGAGTGCTGTGGTGCGTTTGCCCCACAGCACCTCCACCTGCTCAGCGCTCCTCCGCCTTCAGATCAGTAGTCAGGTTTATTTATTTGGTTTCGTTGCTGATGACTGTCTCAAGATATTTTTATGGGTTATTTCTTAGAGATTGTTTAGAATTATAGGTTGCCAGATATTATTCATTGATAACTGAATTTTGATAGAGATGGGGTTACATAATTGACACTCATTTGCGGTTATTTGATGTTAGCTTTGATCAAACATTTTTTTAACCATTGATACGATTACGATGACAAGTTCTACCTTGGACGGCCCAGGATTGGCTAGATAATTACAGGTGCTGATTGGGAAGCCACCGTTGCTGGCCACATTGTTTCCGATGTTCTTTGCATTTTTCCTGCACGTTGTGTTTGTTTTTTAGTTTTGATCCGCTGAATTGAAGCTTAATAGAGCAGATTCCTAAGATACCCTCTGTCGTTTTCACCATTCATGTGCTTTTGCTTATTGTGTAATCCCGTATTGAATACACCACTTCCTGCCGCCTTCTACCTGAAATCCGTGAAGAAGTCCTAGACTTATTTACGATCACATCTGCAATATGCGGATCACCTTAGTCTGAAGACTGGAAGTCATTTCTTGGATCTTCCACAGTGCCCCCTTGCGGCACTGACTGCATTCTGCTTTTTTCTTTCTAGAGAGCAGTCTCGTGGTTCCCAGTGTACTTGGATGTGCTGTGGCTATCATCTTCATAGATGCAGTCAATTGGCAACTATAATTTACTTAAGTTGGAATTCCTGGTGCTCGAAAAATCTCTTGTGCCGGTCCTCAGTCTTCCTGAGTTTAGCTTGGGATTGTAGTGGCATCTTGCCACTGCTCCCAGCTTGCATTCTGTTTTTTTTTTTTTTTTTCTTTTTATGAGACAGAGTCTCATTCTGTTGCCCTGGCTAGAGTGCTGTGGGTCAGCTCTAGTCACCAGCAACTCAAACTCTGGCTCAAGCAATCCTTTTCTGCCTCAGCCTCCTGAGTAGCGGGGGACTACAGGCATGCACCACCGGATGCAGGCTAATGTTGTGTTTTTTATTATATAGTATGTTTAGTTGTCCAGCTAATTTCTTTTTATTTTTTAGCTAGAAGGACAGGGTCGTCGTGGAGGTCTGGCGTCGTTGTCTGGTCGTCAAATTCCTAGCTCAACGATCTTGCGTGCGGTTGACCTGCACCAGAGTGCTAGTAATTCGGAGTGGAGCCACTATGCCGGTGGCCTCATTCTGGTTTTAAATGCAGTGTGTTTATGTTTTACTTCTGCAAAACTATAACTGCTCAAGGATCCTAATTGTGTTCAATGTCCCAAAAAGTACTCACGGAGTAGTGCACATATAAATATTTGAGAAGTAACTAAATGAAGTGCCAGGTTTTAAGGTACAGAAATTCAGGGCCCAGGCAGAAGTCTGGGTAATCTGTTCAGGCTTGGGGCTGGGGAGTAGTTGTTATGGAGCAAACAATGGGCTTGCTACCCAATGAACATAGTAGTGAGGGTAATGACGTGTGATCTGTGGAATCTTGTGATTTGGTGATGTCAGGAGACATGTTCTGACTGGACCATGCCCCTGGGGTGACACGAGAACTCAATCTGATTTGATCCTCTATCCTGCCATGTGGTGTCTGCTAAATTCAGTTCTCACTCCTTGGTCCCACTCACTTGGGTTCTGCCCATGGTTGCACACACTTGGGTCATTGGGGCTTGCTCAGGTTATGTGGCCTTCAACCTTGGGGTCTATGGCAACTGAAAAACAACTCACAACTTTGTTACATAAAAGTTGAACCAGATTGATCTGATGTGGTTACATTGTGAATTCTGATGATCTTTGGAGAGAGGCAATGCAGGGGAGCACACATGGGCCAGAATGAAGCTAAAGGCCCTTGCTCTGAGCCTACCTTGGTAACTGATGTCATTCTAGGGGTCTGTGCCTGCCGGGGTGCTCCCAATCCTTCAGCTTCCTCAAGATAATCTTCTATTAAGATTTGTTTAAGACGCCCTATCGGCCGAGCCGAGTGGCCCCGCGGAGCCGGCGCGCTCTCGCCTGCAGGGGGAGGGCGGACGGGGCGCGGGGACCGGCCAGGCCGGGGCGGGCGCTGTTTCTCTTTCACTTTCCTTTGCTCTGAGGCCGGCGCGCTGGCGGGCGAGGAGCGGCGGCCGCTGGATATGGGAAAGCAGAACCACCAAAAGGAGTGATGATCAGCGATCTCATGATAAATCTGGATGTTAGTTCTCATGCCTCAGGACATCCTTTTAGGAACACCACACCAGCTCCTGGGATCAGACTTGCATCTACTTAGTGTACCCTTCTTTGCCTGAACTACTAAAGCCAGTCTTAGCTAACCATGAATGCTACCCAAAGGAAACACTTGGTGAAAGATTTCAATCCTTACATTACCTGCTGTATCTGTAAAGGTTATCTGATCAAGCCAAGGACAGTGACGGAATGCCTCCATACCTTCTGTAAGACTTGTATTGTCCAGCACTTTGAAGATAGTAATGATTGTCCAAGGTGTGGCAACCAGGTTCATGAGACAAATCCACTAGAAATGTTAAGGTTGGATAATACACTAGAAGAAATTATATTTAAGCTGGTCCCTGGACTACGAGAACAAGAACTTGAGCATGAATCTGAATTTTGGAAGAAAAATAAGCCTCAAGAAAATGGACAAGATGATACTTCAAAAGTTGACAAACCTAAAGTAGATGAAGAAGGTGATGAAAATCAAGATGATAAAGACTATCACAGAAGTGACCCACAAATTGCTATCTGTCTAGATTGTTTACGAAATAATGGGCAATCAGGGGACAATGTAGTAAAGGGCTTAATGAAGAAATTTATTCGATGTTCTACACGTGTAACTGTGGGAACTATTAAAAAATTTCTAAGTTTAAAACTAAAACTTCCAAGTTCTTATGAGTTGGATGTGCTGTGCAATGGTGAAATTATGGGGAAGAATCATACTATGGAATTCATCTACATGACAAGATGGCGACTAAGAGGCAAAAACTTTCGGTGTCTGAACTGCTCAGCTTCGCAAGTCTGCTCTCAGGATGGCCCTTTGTATCAGTCATACCCTATGGTATTGCAGTATCCACCAAGAATTGATTTCGGTTAGACCAAGGGGCACAAATCTCTGAGATGAATCCTGCACTGTTTACTCGTCGACAGATTGCACAGTTAATGGTGTGTGGACTAGAGGGACACAACCAGATTTTCAGCATGCAAATAAGGCCATTGTCTATCTATAAATTGTCAATTACATTTATGTTATTTCTATTAAGAGCAAACCAAGTGCCATTCTGCTACTGAACTGTCTGCATAGGGTATTTGTGCTGTCTCACAGTGTGCAAATCCTAGCTGAGATCAGTTAAAGTGTGCAGCCATGATTCAGCCTTCTGAATATTTTGCTTGCCTGTTCCAAGATTGTTCTAATGTTTAATTACACTAGTTAAAATGGCTCAATCTTTGTGGTGTTGCAGTTTTCACATACTTAGTATTTTATTAATTCTTGTTTAAATAGAGTACTGTACAAGAAACTAATAATTATCTTGAAATTGTTTTATATGGAAATATATTTAGAAAAGTGGTTTTTGAGCCACTATCCTGTTCTTGGTAAGCTTTTTGTGTAAAAAAAAAATAGTTAATTCTTGAGTGTGCAAGTCTGTTTGCAAAGAATTTCGATTATTTAACATTAGAGCACATCATAATTGTAGACATTCTAAGCATCTGTCAGTGTAGTCTACTAATTGCACAAGGAAGGCATGTTAGCCCTCCAGATTGAAAATGTATGTGACTTTTTGGAGAACTGAAGTTAGATTCACAACCATTCAAAATGTTGGCAGCTGATCACATTTACTTCTAATAAAATTAATGTGTAAGTAAGGTTAATCTTCTTTCATAATGCCTTATGACAAGTGGGTGTTGCTTCATGAAACTTCATTGTAAAGTCCATTTTATGTATGTATCATTACATTGTTGCTGTCATTTAATGAGTGCATTGTTTCTCTTTTTAAGTTGGCCTTAGGTACATGTTATTGTGGCATGCAGAGGGTTATGATTTTAAATATTAGGATTTTTAGAGCATATAACATTAGCTATTTTATGGATTTCAAAAGTCTAAAAACAGTTATAGATTAAAACTGTTAGTTATCTTTTACATTTCCAAACCATATGCATAAAATAGAATAAATGCTGTGTAGAAGAAAAAAAAGATTTGTTTAAAACCACTTTATTAAAGTATAATTTATAAACCATGAAATTCTTTCATTTAAAATGTATAGTTCAATGTTTTTAAATATATATTCCAGTCACCGTCATCTAATTTTAGAACATTTCCATCACTCCAATAAGAAAACTTTCCATTAGTAGTCACTCCCTCTCTCTCCTCCCCTGCCTCCCACCCTAGGCAACCATAATCTCCTATCTGTCTCTACAGATGTGCCTACCTTGGGCATTTCATATACATGGAATCATACAAGATTTGGTCTTTTGCGACTGGCATCTTTCATTTAATATGTTTTTGAGATTCATCTATGTTGTAGCATGCATCAATACTTCATTGCTTTTTTTTTCTCAAACTCCTGAGCTCAAACGATCTGCCTGCCTCGACCTCCCAGAGTGCTAGAATTACAGGCGTGAGCCACTATGCCTGGCCTCATTCTGGTTTTAAATTGCAGTTGTTTATGTTTTACTTCTGCAAAACTATAACTGCTCAAGGATCCTAATTGTGTTCAATGTCCCAAAAAGTACTCACGGAGTAGTGCACATATAAATATTTGAGAAGTAACTAAATGAAGTGCCAGGTTTTAAGGTACAGAAATTCAGGGCCCAGGCAGAAGTCTGGGTAATCTGTTCAGGCTTGGGGCTGGGGAGTAGTTGTTATGGAGCAAACAATGGGCTTGCTACCCAATGAACATAGTAGTGAGGGTAATGACGTGTGATCTGTGGAATCTTGTGATTTGGTGATGTCAGGAGACATGTTCTGACTGGACCATGCCCCTGGGGTGACACGAGAACTCAATCTGATTTGATCCTCTATCCTGCCATGTGGTGTCTGCTAAATTCAGTTCTCACTCCTTGGTCCCACTCACTTGGGTTCTGCCCATGGTTGCACAC